CATTTCTTCCCAGCCTAACTGAATTCCTTCTAAAAGGGCCTAATTTAACCAGGCTTTCTTGAATTAGAGGGGAGTTTCTTACATTGTTTCTCCATGCGTAATAACTAACGTGCATGTGGCAATTAGAAACGAGAAGGGAGTCTAGAAAAGGCGGTTATATGGTTTGGTCTCTGGGTTGACCATGAAGAGTTAGATGGGGATAGTCAAACAGTTTATTTTTGAGGTTTTTGCTTAGCAGGCTGATTGTGATTCTTTTTGTTCTGTTTCCTTTGTTTTTGATTTGGTTGGCTGTTCACACTCACGGCAACACTATCCTTACCCACAATGTTAGGGTGACAATTAGGTGGTTCTTGCACTAATTTCCATACTGCACTAATACTCAAATCCAGGCTAGTTATGTACAAGAACCTCGGCCCACTGGCTTACACAAATACCTCCACTCACTTATGCATACAGACCAGGAAGCCATGGAGCTGTAATGGTCGTTTGTTATTGGAACAATAAGACTAGTACCCTTGTTTCAATTGGGAATCTTGTTACCTCTAGTCTCACTTGAAATAAAAGTTGCTGCCCGCATGTGCAAAGTGCCTCTACTCTAGCTATAGTGATGTCAGTTTTCACAGGTGGAAGATCACTCAAGCAAAAACTCCATTTGTGAGGACTGGATAGAGGGAGACATTAATTTTTATTTTAACACAAAGTTAAAATACTGTAGATATGGGAGATCTGAAATAAAAAATGTGCTGGTAAAACTCCACAGTAGTTGCAGCATCTGTGGAGATAGAAACCCAAAAAATATTGGGCGAGATATGAAGAGTCCTATTGGAGTCTGAGCACTAACTCTTTTCAGTTGCTGCCAGACCTGCTGAGTTTCTCCATTACTTTCAGTTTGTAACTTTAAATGCTGTTGGTAGGAAAATTCTTTCTTTTGTTTTGGTTTACCTTTTTTTGAGATCAGGAACTTAAACTTCAGCAAATTAACGGAAGTTTCCTTTTCTACACTGCAGATTGATTTTGTGTGACCTGGCGGGTTCAGAGCGCTGCAAAGAACAGAAGTGTGGTGACAGGATGAAGGAGGCAACTAATATCAACACTTCTTTGCACACACTAGGCAGGTGCATCCGTGCCCTGCGCCAGAACCAGCATAACAAGTACGTATACCATGATGTTGTTTATTTCATTGCAGTTCTTGCAGATTTTCAAATGTGCCAGATGGCGAGCAGAGCAGCTTTGATATGATGTGGTTTGATTAACCAGAAGAAATGGAAAATTGGCATAAAAGAATCAGATCTTGTGCATGTGAAGTGAAAGCATTTTTACTTTTTTAATGGACGACACTGTATAGAAATTAAATGGAAAATAGAGATTTTAATTCCAATTTCAGAAGATTTGGCTCTCTTGTCTGATGCTAAGTTTTTAATGTACTGCTTGACTGTACTAAATGTCTCCAAGCATGTACTTGGTGACTTGAATTCTAGGGTGCCTTGCAACTAACTGACTAGTGTCACCTTCTAGTACTCTTGTGATTCACATTTGTTTTGAGTGACCAGATTCCTGAACTTTGTCTTTTCAGGTCAAAGCCTAATATGGTGCCTTTCCGGGATAGTAAATTGACTCGTGTGTTCCAGGGGTTTTTTTCTAACCACGGGATGTCTTGTATGATTGTGAACATTAACCAGTGTGCATCCATGTATGATGAAACATTGCAGGTCATGAAATTCTCTGCTATCGCCAGCCAGGTAAGCAATCGTGAGTGCTGTCTTCTGCTTTTCAAAATCAGTGAATGGTGCCAGATACTATGAGAACCTTATCAGATTGATTGGGATGACTGTATTTAATTTGGTTTTCCTTGCATTTGAGATATAAAATCTGCCCTGATTCTTGTACTGGCTGTCACAATTACTTCTTTTTATATAGCTTGTTTTCAACTGTTAAGAACAGAAATCATGGTAAACAAGATTCCCACGTACCATTGTTTTGATGTAAGGCATTCTGACAATTAGAATGTAGTTTAATATATTCAACGACAAAGTTTTTGAATTGATCCTATTCCTTTAGGAGGCCATACCTAATAATCATAGAATCCCTACAGTGTGGAAACAGGCCATTTGGCCCAACAAGTCCACACCGCCTCTCCGAAGAGCATCCTACCCAGACCCATTCCTCTAATTTCCCATGTCTAACCCACCTAACCTAAACGTCCCTGAACACAATAGGCAATTTAGCATGGCCAATCCACCTACACTGCACATCTTTGGACTGTGGGAGTAAATCGGAGCACCCGGAGGAAACCCATGCAGACACGGGAAGAATGTGCAAACTCCACACAGACAGTCAGCCGAGGCTGAAATCACACCCGGATTCCTGGTGTTGAGGCAGCAGTGCTAACCACTGAGTCACCATGCCGCCCCTTGTGCTTAAATCTTCTGTATATTTCGCACACAGCTAGTTTAATTGCATATACCTGGTTATTGTACTGTTTGTTCTAGCTGATACAAGCACCTTCGTCCAAGCTGTTTCCTTCCTTCCGTGCACTACTGCGTGAACATGATGGCTGGAATAACTGCAATGCTCAAGCACCTCTTGAAGAACAGGAGGAATTAGATGATGATGAGGATGATGGTGAAGATGAGATGGATATCAGTGCACTGGATAAGGAGGTGATCGTATGTTAGAACATAGCACTGAATTTCAGTCATGTGGTTCTTAGACTTTGTCTCAACTTCCTGCGTAAGCTAAGGTTATGGCTGTACAGCTCTAGTTTGTGGTGGGGAAGTAAGAAAAGGCATTCAATGTCAGTTTACCACAGCTAGAGCTAATATTAGCAAAATTATGTTGGACAGTGTGTTTCAGGTCTTGCTGTTTTAGACTTTGTCCTGTGTGTTGAAATTTGTTGCATAAGTTGGTAATGTTACAGTGAAAGGAGCTTGGAATTTGGCATCTGAGTGAACAAGACGAGCTAATAGAAAGCAAATAGAAAGATAGTGAAATAAACAGTCCAAGCTCTGAAAAGCAAATGTAAAATTCAACATCCAGTCAGGTACAGAAAGAAAGAATAGATTAAGGTATCAAGACACATAGTTTTTGAATATTGTAAAATTTTTATATTGAATCCCCCAATAACATTTTAAGGAAATATGATAAATGTTTAACTCATTTGTAATTAACATTGATCAATTACCTTTAAAAACCTATAACTAGATCCTGAATCTCCAAGTTATATTCCAGATTCCCAAAATCATAAAGCTCCTGGATGAGGAGTCATGAGATGGCTTCCCTTTGTTACTCATCTGTCCCCTTGATTAGTTGCCACAAGCTTAATTTATGAAGGCTGCCTTCCTTTGTTGATACCATTTCTCCCCAGCCCAACTGAATTCCTTCTAAAAGGGCCTAATTTAACCAGGCTTTCTTGAATTAGAAGTGAGTTTCTTACATTGTTTCTCTGTGTAATAACTAACGTGCATGTGGCAATTAGAAACGAGAAGGGAGTCCAAAAAAGGTGGTTATATGGTTCGGTCTCTGGGTTGACCATGAAGAGTTAGATGGGGATAGTAAAACGGTTTATTTTTGAGGTTTTTGCTCAGCTGGCTGATTGTGATTCTTTTTGTTCTGTTTTTTTTTTTTTTTGATTTGGTTGGCTGTTCACACTCTCAGCAACAAATATCCTTACCCGCAATGTTAGGGTGACAATTAGGTGGTTCTTGCACTAATTTCCATACTGCACTAATACTCAAATCCAGGCTTGTTACGTACAAGAACCTCAGCCCACTGGCTTACACAAATACCTCCACTCACTTATGCATACAGACCATGTTTGATTTTCTTCAAACTCGTGTGTTCTTGAATGGGGAAGACTTGAAACTTGTTTCTTGCACAGTCTGCAACTTTTCTATTATCATGTCTGCAATTTGAGAACTCCCTGGAGTTCAGTTCAGTTTATTGCAATTGTTCCTAAGCATCATTGGATTTTTTTTTTCTGTCAGATCTGACGTTCCAGCATCTGCATCAGTCTGTTTCTTTTTTCTGTCTTTTGCTGTAACTCTTTCTCTTCTTCTTTTTTTTTTTTTTTTTTCTTTCTTTCTTGCTCTCACACTCGTTCTCTTCCCACCAATGCCAACGCCTCTCCCTTCATTTGTGCCTGAAAATGCTCTGGTTGAAATGAAAACAGGAAATGCTACAAATACGCCAACAGATTTGACATTTGTGAAGAGAAATCAAGACAGCATCTCAAGTGCTTTACCTCCCGTTGGAACATGAGAACTGAAATACACCTGCACAAATTTGTTAATTGATCGCCTTGTCTTCAGGCAACATTCTAATATTGCCATTTAACTTTGAAGGCTTTTGTTGCCCAGGTTTAAATGGGGTGATGTATCAAAAGTTGCAAAGAGCAGTTGTTTTCTGTTTTTGTTTTTTCTCCATCTTGTGCTTTTATTATTTATTGACCATGAGTTTGTGTTCCTCAGTCATTGCAGAAAATTATTGAGAGCCTGCAGCAACACCTGATTAAGGAGAAGCAGGACAAGCTAATAATGGAAAGTGAGATCAGACAAAGTGTTGTCAGTGAGATGATGGAGCAATACAACACTATGGAAAGACACTGGAGGTGGGCGTTGTTCAGTTTAGAATGTGATATATTGCTTATTATCTTTATTAAAGTCTAAAATATTGCCAAAGTGTGAAGATGTTTTACTGGGCTCATAAATTTGGCCAAAACTGCCAATGAGAGAACTATACCTAACAAAGAATTGTGCCTGTGTAATATCTTTTCATGTCTTCAGAACATGGCAAAGTGTAGACACTTGGAGACAGTAAGAGCTGCTGATGCTGGAGTCTGAGATAACACAGTGTGGAGCTGGAGGAACACAGCAGGTCAGGCAGCATTGGCGGAGTGGGAAAGCTGACGTTTTGGGTCAGGACCCTTCAGTCCATGTGCTACAGGTAGACCCACAATGCTATTGGAAAAATAATTCCAGGATTTTGCCGCACTGACCTGAACCCATTTTTTGGTCCGGTGGGTTACCATTTTGGAAATATGGGGGTCGGCGCAACTTTTGGATTATGTAGCTATACTTTGGATGGTAGGTAATCTTGTTTGATTTAAAGACTCTGCTTCGTTTAATATGCCGTCAGGAGAAGGGTCCTGACCCGAAACGTCAGCTTTCCTGCCCCTCTGCTGCCTGACCTGTGTTCCTCCAGCTCCACTGTGTTATATAGACACTTGCCTGCAAAGGCAAGTTCCTTCCTTCCTTCAAACAGAAATCTAATGAAAGACCATTGTTCCCTCTAGGCTGCATGCTCCATGTTCTGCATTTGGCATTGGCACACTAATCCCAGCATTGACTTCTGCTTTCGGAAGTCGTTGTTGTGTACAGGTGTTGGAGGTGTGTGCGGCTGAAAAGAAAATTGATGGCAATGCTGGCCAGGACTCGTGGTGAACTCGTTATTTGGAAAAGTTTTTGTTTTTTCTTGTAACCCAATGGAATGGACAGATGACGTTGGTTTAAAATGTCATCTGGAACTTTCTACTGTCCCTCAGTACTGCAATAAAGTGTGGACTGCATTCTGTCTCCAATCGCGAAATGGGAACATGCACCTCAACTCAAAACAATCACTGAGCCACACTGGTGTTCAAGTTTTCTACATCTTGGGTTTGATATGTAGACTGAGCTATATTTTTGCAATACCTGTTGATGAAGATGGTTCCATTCTAGATTGAATTTACCTTCCACTAATTTTTTTGTGTTGCTGGAAAGAGACCCATTGTTGAAGCCATTTGTCTTGCACTCATCAAGACAAACGCAAGAATTCCAAATTTCAAATGATCGTAATGATTTCTGCCACAAGAGAAGATGCTGGTTGGTTGCCAAATCTGTTCCTTTGGTTGCTCAATAACATTTGATTCCATCATTGGGCAGCACTTGCACAACAATCCTAAGTTTCCTAATAGCTACACTGACAATCAGTCAGGCTCATAATGTGGCTTATTTATGCTTGCCGGAAGTGACATACGGTCTTGACCAGGGTCGGGCCTACCAATTAACTAGTAAGTTAAGGAGCCTAAAGCTCCCCATTGCTTTTGACCAGGTAATGCCTTGGTGAATCAGTCAACTTGCTGATCAATGCACTCTTCTACCTTTGTATAAATTTTTGCGACTGTCTGAAATTTGCTATTTTTACACTTGCCCCGATGAGTGCTAGCTAAAAAGCTTCGCTAGCATATCTCATTTCAAGAAATTCTTGAATTCCTAAAAAACACATTCCGGAATGCCCTGAACATTTTAATAAACTAGAAACGATCAAGCATGCACATGCCGGACATTCTTTAACCTTTTATGGACTTTACATTTGATTTTTTTTGTCTTGCATCCGTTCTGTTTTCTATCTTGTTCTGTAGCTTTTGTTGGGATGATCTTTGAACCAAGTGCTAATAATCCATAACCAAAAGTTGCTTTTTCAAGGAGCCCTTACAGGTGACTTGTATTTTATCCCTGACCACCAAAGTCAATATTGTGGAGGGATGCTTCCTTGAATTGATTGCAACATCCTTGGGGTGAAATTCAACCTGTTTTCAATCTCACAGAGAGCAGTTTGAGGAACAAAAGGATCGTTTAGAAGATGCCTTTGAGGCAAAGATGAAAAACTACCAAGAATATGTTAAAATCTATTATCAGCTGTCCTCTGAAGAGGAGGATTGTGATGATTCTGGTGATGAAATCAGTGAGGGTAAAGTAATGGTGAGAAATATTTTAATCTCTAATATTGTGATGTTTAGAATAATCTGCAGCACAAGATCCTATTCTGGTTTATGTAATGTTGGAAAAACATTGAAGACTTTATAGAGCTGACGATTGATAGGATTGTTTACGTGGCAATAATTGGAAGTAGTTGAGCTATTGAAACCATGCTCCAATATCCTGACAACTTTTCTTATACTCGCTGATGGGATGTGGGCATTGCTGACTGGGCCAGCATTTATTGCCTGTCCCTAGTTGCCCTCTTAAATCGCTGCAGTCCATGTGCTACAAGTAGACCCAAATGCTATTGGGAAAATAATTCCAGGATTTTGACACACTGACCTGAACCCATTTTGGAAATATGGCAGTCGGCGCATCTTTTGGATTACGTAGCTATACTTTGGATGGTAGGTGATCTCGTCTGATATTAAATGAAGCACAGTCTTTAAATGCCTTCAGAAAACTGCAGCTTGCTGAGTCCAGGCTGGTAAATATCTGGTCTATTAGAGATTGATCTTGTTGGCAGAGAGAGGCCTTTGTAAAGGGCAAAGAAAAGGATGGTCACATCCTATATTATTCTCCCTTTGCTTTTCTGATCCTACAAAAATAGTTTTGGGATTTGTTTTATTATCATTACCTAGCTTAACATGAAGCTATGTCCAGATAGTCCTCAAAAGTTTCATTGGTGTCCTATATGTATAGGATCTTGAATTGCATCCAGCGTTGCAGCTCACATCTAATTCAAACCAACTCCTTCACTACTCAGGAGAGTCCAGTGACTATGGCAACCCTGTGTTAACTTCACCACAGCTAATTTTACTTGATCATTCCATTTTGATTTGATTGGACAAGCCCCACTGGAAACTATCTTTAAGTCCTTTCCCCTGTTTATCACCATTCCCTCTCATTGCTTTGAGATTTTGGAATTGTACTTGTGAACGAATTTTCCCTGTGGCTTTCAATTTTTCCATTTAATAATATAGTTCAGGACAAGTGAGAACAAGGAAAGCATTTCCTTGGCACCATGGTATTTAAATTGGCACAAATGAACTAGTGGAATTTATTTTCAAATTAAGTGATGTACATTTCCACACCAAAAGGCATCCTCTAAGCACAACTTCCATAGATTGAGATCAGAGTTAATGTTTCAATTGCATTTGCACAAAATTGGAACTTTTTAAACCAGGCTGTTGCTACCGATTTTAGTATTGTTTTTAAAAACAGCATCTCCATCTCTGATTTAAATTCACCAATTAGACTATGTTTGTTTATAATAGCAACTGCTACATTTTTTCCTCGTATGGTAACCCTTGAACTTATAGCTATAAACTAGAGGATCAGCAGTTGTTTGCAATGACATGTGAATCTATGAATTAGGATCAGAAGTATCTCACTTGATCCTTGGATCCAGCTCTAAATACGATAATGCTTGATCTGATTACTCCATACCTACCAAGGATCCCCTTTCATCTTGTTATGTACCAAGAATCAATCTATCACTGTCTTAAAAATGTTCAAGGACCTTGCTTCCACTGTCTTTGGCAGATGAGTTCCAAAGATGTTCAACCTTCAGAATTTCTCCTCCATCTATGACTCAAATGAGCAATTCTCTATTTTGAAGCAGTGACTCATTGTTCTCGATTCTCCCTGGAGAGGCCACATCTTATCCATGTGCACCCTGGCAAGACCCCAGAATCTTTTAAGTTTCAATCAAGTTATCTCTTGCTTTATTTTTAATCTCCAACAGATACAAATCCAGTTTGTCCACCCTTGTCCTCTAAGACAACCCACCTATTCCAGATATTAATCTAGAAACTTTCTCTGAAGTGCTTCCATTTCAATAACATCTGTCCTTTTATACTGTATTTCAGATTGGTTTCCTTGATGTCATGTATAATTAATATGTAAACTCCCTACAAAACCAGAAATTGCTGGAAAAGCTCAGGAGCATCTGTGAAGAAAAATCAAAGTTAATGTTTTGAGTCTGGTCACCCTTCCTTAGAACTGATGGTAGCTAGGAAAATTTTGGTTTATATGCAGAAGAAATGGCAGGGGTAAGGAGTAAATGATGGGTGGAGATAGACCCCAAAGAGAGAGAAGAGCAGTTGGATAAGACCAAGGAGTTGATAATGATCCAGCTAGGAGGGTGAATAGCTGTTAATGGAGACCATTAGTGACTAATGATAGGTAGTGAGTAATGGCAGACTGTGATAACAAGGCCTGGTGTGTGCAGTGAGGGACTAGGAGGGCTGAGCTTGTCCAACATCTTCTGGTTTTGCTGATTTACAGCCTCTGCAGTTCTTTAAGTTTTAACTTAGGGTGTAAATTCCCTACTCTGGTGTTCAATTACCCTTGCAATAAATATAACAATCTGTTTGATTTATTAATTACTCACCCTGCCTACATGTTAACTGTTATGCAATTTATGCACCAGGCTCCCAGATCCCTCTGCAGTCTTTTTTATTCAGTATTTTGGATTTTGTTTTATTCTTCCTGCCAAAATGGACAATTTCCTACCTTCCCAAGTTACTCCATTTGCCAGATCTTTGACCACCTGCTTAACCTCGTTTTCCCTTTTGCAGCCTCCTTATCTCCTCTTCACAATTGCTTTCCTGCAACCTTTTGTCATCAGCAAATGTGTTTTTGGTCTCTTCATCCAAGAGATTTACATAAATGTTGAAGCTCCAGCACTGAACCCTGTGGCAACCAGAAAATGACCTATTATGCCTAATGTTTCCTGTTAGCTAGCCAATCGACTATACATCTGTCAATATGTAGCCCACTAGATCATGAGCTTTTATTTGTTCTATTATGCGACAACTTTTGATATGGATCATATCAAGTGCTGCTTTGAAATCCAAAAATACTACATCCCTAGTTTTCTCTTTATCCACAGCACACCTTACTTCCTCCAAAGAAGTCCAATAAATTGGCTAACTGTGATTTCCCTTTCACAAAACCGTATTAATACTGCTAAATTTCCTTCATTATTGGTTCTAATCTCATCATCATGATAGATGTTAAGCTAACTGGCCAGTTGGTTCTTGTTTGTGTCCCTCACCCTTTGAATAAGGGAGTCATGTTTGCTATTTTGCAATCTAATGGAATTTCCCCAGAAAATTAAAACCAAGACATCAACTATCTCTCTAGCTGCTGCCTGTAAAACTCTAGGCTCAGGCTCTGCTGGACTTGCTAGGTACCACTTCCTTGTGTTTGTAATTTTCTATAGTTCCTCTCTTCCAGTTCTGGATTTGTTGCTATTCCTAGAATGTTAATTTATCACTTGTACATTACAGTAAGGCCTGGTGCAAAATACTCATTCAAATCATCTAACATCTCCTTTTCCTGTATTAACTCCCCACTCTTAATTCACTTTCTATATGATAAATGCTGTCTGTATCAACTCTTTGTCTTCCTAAATATCTATGAAATTCTTCTTGCTATCTGTTTTGTTTCTGGTTGCCTTTTTCTCTAATTTTCTCAACTTACCTTTTAGTCATTCTTTGTCTTTTTTATATTCTGTAGAATCTGCTGGCCTACGGTGCATCTTTGCATAATTAAATATTCCTTTAATGTTCATAATATCTTTAACATTTTTGGTTAACCATGAATGGTAAGCTCTCCCTTTTTTAGAATTTTTTTTCTCACAAATGTATCTGTTCTGTTTATTCTGAAATACTCCCTTTAATTTCTGCGACTGCATTTTTTTTTGCCTAATTTGTCACTTCACGCTAACTATTTCTGCTTTCATGCTATTATAGTTGCCCTTTATTTCATTTTAAAGAATAGTTTTGGACCAGCTCTCTTCTCTCCCCCTCCTTTTTTAAACTGCTTGTAAAATTCAATCATATTATTGTCACGAGTGGCTTGGGTGCCTTTGCTTCGGTCATAAATTCTATTTCATTGCACAATATCAGGTCTAGTATAGCCTGCTTTCTGGCTGGTGCCAAAATGTACCATTCTAAGAAATTGTCCCAAAAGCACAGACTCATTATTTCATCGAAGTCACCTTCTATTCATTTCTTCATTCATTTAAATTATCTTGATGGTTTTAGGTTGTCCTCACTCGATCCAATTAGCTGAGTATTCCATTGTTGAGAAGTTTAGAACCATTGTTTGTTTGTGCTTTGCAACTTCCCATCTCTCCTGATCCCCAGCAACCTTTTCCCCACCCTGTTAGCTCCATGATACCACCTTCCTCCCCTACACTCCCAGAAACAAGTGGCTTGCCTAGTGACCTTGACTTCCTCTAGTCTTTAGGAGCATGGAAGAGAACCAATGTGTGTTTCTCACCACCCATTCTGTCAATTCTACTTGATGTCTTTTCTCTGGTCACCCTGAGGTTTAATTTTCTTGAATGTTTTGTGGGCGAATATTCCAGGGGTGACAGGCAAATTTGAGCTTTTAAGTTTTTCGTCAGGGACAGGTGATCTTTGGAAGTGCTGTACTTCCAATTGCGATGCTTTACGTTTTTATACTCACTGATCACAATAGCTCCTTGGCTCAATCGTTATTCTTGAGAGAAATTTGTTTTGTTTTTCCCACTCCAAGTCACGGAAAATCAGAGAACTAGAAGCGACTATACACCAGTTGAAGGCAGAGAGAAAGTCTTCTAGCCAGTCGACAAGGCAGTCTGCTCGCTTGGCCAATACAAAACTCAGTGATGAGCTGCACAATCTGAAATTGGAACTGGCAAATGTAAAAACTGAGCTGGAACAAAGTAAAGCAGAGGCAGCATTCAGTGCAGAAGGTGAGTGCTCTTCTGAGCTGGTGTCAGTGTTTGCTAATCCCAGCAAATAATAGATGGGGAGAAATGAAGGCAGGAAGATTTAAAATGTACTTATGGCCTTTGCTGTTCTGAATACTTCTGATGGTTTTATTGTTTTAAAGAAATGTTTGGAGCACAGCGTAGTTGACAAGCTGGGGTGGATGCATTTTAATTAAGGCCTTGATTATGGGGCAATTAATGAATTGAACCTGTTCAACAATGAAACAATATTCAGTACGATGCACAAATAAAGATTTTTAAATTCTCAACTGCACAGAATAAGAGGTTCTTCACTGTATAATTTCATTGAGCATTTTGTTTGAATGGAATAACACAAGGTAACTTTGCTACCTTGCAGCTACCACTCTGGCTAGCTGACCTGAATGTAATTACCCACTTAGATATGGCAGTTGAGGCGGCTCAGTGATTTGGGTAGATTGTGACAGATGAACCACCTAGATCGTGCCAAACTGTAAGAAAGTAAACCATCTACATGGAACATTTGCTGGCAATGAAACTACCATCATCACTACCATAAACTCCTCAACCTACAGTATCTTAGCCAGGCCCTCGTAGGGACTACCCCCTTGAGTTGGCCATGCTGTCATTGTGAAGCCTCAAGCTGTGTTCCCACTAACCACACAGACGGAATAAGTTTAATGTAGTTCTTATTTTGAATGAAATTAAACTTCAGTGGAGAGGTGAGGCTGTGGGTGGGAGAGGAAACCAGAGATATGGAAAAAAAAGTTCACTCGGGTCCACTTTTGATGATAAAGGATGCCACTGGGCCAACACTCACTCAAACTTCTGACTAAGACTTGTTTCTTACGTACATATCTACAAAGATACCTCTGCGGTTGAGGATTAGACATGTTGGAACTTTTTTTAAAAGAAATGAAAAAGGTGCATTTTTTTCAATCAATTATTAATTTTAATATCAAGGTTTTGTACTATATAAGTTATCCATTTGTTTCTGTGACAAGCCTTGCATAGAGTTTGAGTTGCCATTGCAGTGATTGGCTCATTTAAATTAAGATGTAGTGACTTGATCACTTGTACATAGCTGTATGGTGGAATAGAGCTGCCACTGATCTGTGTACCGGGTGGCAGTCCTCCTCGTGCCATTGATAGGGGTATCTCCTGCAAACATGATTCTACTGGATTTGATAGCTAGCCCCTGGTACCTGCTCCGGCATTTGATGATGATATGGCTGAATGATTTGTGAACTCTGCTGCATATTCCTGCCTGCCACCATACCCTTGGATTCTTGACTTTTCAGGGAGTCAATTTAGCCTACTTTAAATATTTAATGTCCCTGCTTCCACCCACTGAGGAAGAGAATTTCATAAACTCTCAACTGGGAAAATTCCCCTTTTATTTCTGCTTTCGATGAGAAACCCTTATTTTTAAACTGTCCCCCAGTTCTAGTTTCTCCCACAAGTGGAAAAGCTCACCAGGTCTAGCAGCATCTGTGGAGAGACCCAAAACTTTGATTTCCCTCCACAGATGCTGCCAGACCTTTCTCTATTTCTATTTTCGGGGGCGATCATTTGTTCCCCTACCCCACTGGGGGGAAAAAAAAATAGCGCTTTTAAATGTTTTGTTCATGAGATATGGGTGTTACTGGCAAGGCCACTGTTGGTTGTCCAACTCCTCGTTGCCCTTAGCCTGGCAGGCTGCTCAGTACATTTCAGAGGGCAGGTTAGAGTAAACCATTTTGCATGCTGGACCAGATAAGATGGCCAATTTCTTTCCCAAAGACATTAATGAAACAGATGACCTTGTTCAGGAAACCATTGAATGCCATACATTATTACTGAAGCCAGTTTCAGCTTGTGGGCATTTTTTTCAAAGAACAAAGCCCTGCAATTTTCAGATTCCACGTCATGAGATTTGGACCCCTGTTTTCCAAAGAATAGCCTGCTTTACTAGGCTAGTAACCTCAAACACAGCACCATCTCCCACAAAACTTATTACTCAATGTAGAACTTGAAACCATGACCCTAGAATTAAGAATTACAGTATCTACTAATTGTGCCACCTGGATTATTTGACTATTACACTCCCCAGAAGTTGCAAAGCCATACACCGCTCCCTAATTGTCTATGATCTGGGGTCTGACTCCTATGACAACGTAAGCAATATTTGCATAATAGGGATTGAAGTTCTCGTTTAGTTTCCGTGCAGTTACAGAAGAACTAACAAGTTGCAATGAACTGCTTTTGTGACTTGGTTTGTTGGCTAACGTGAAAAGCAATCTCTATTCTCTTGTTCTGCCCCTAAATGTCATTTTTAAAGTGTCTTGTTCTTTGTGGTAATATCTTAATCTGAATGCTTGGCATCTAGGTTTGTAGGAATTTTTTCTTGAAGCATGGGCCTTTTGAAATTTGCCTACAGTAGTTAGAATTTTCTTTCATGGACTGTTAATTTGTCATGTTACAGAATTGAAGCGATACAAGGAAATGATAGAGCTTCCAGCTGGAATGAAACATCTCACAGTTGATGCAGACCGGAAGATAGAAGCAGGACAGAGAGTGAGTCATGTATTTCCTCTTTACCCTGATCCAACATGGTGGGTTTAGCATTTTTTAAACCATTTCTGGCCAACAGATTGCTTGGAAAGACTTTGGGCTTCACACTGCTGTCTGGATACGCTATAATGCATTTACCTCAGTAATGCAGTTGGGGCCAGAGCTTGGTGGGAAAGCTTGAATGTGAAGTTCCATGTGTAATCTGAGAAGTTCCATCAGGGACATCTCAAAATGATTGCAGCATATTGTCAGAGGTGATTGAGAAACTGGATGTTATTGTACATATTGTAAAAATGACATAATTAGGGACAGTATTGAGGCTATAGAATGAAGTTAGATCAAAGAGTAGAACCTCAAAGGTAGTTATCTTTGAATTACTCCCTGGTGCAACCTGCTATTGAGAGTAGGAATAAATAGGGCAGATAAATCCATGGCTGAGGAGATGGGGCAGAGATTTAGATTTTGGGATCATTGTGATCTGTTCTGGCATAGAAAAGACCTGTTCAAAAGGGACAGGTTTCACCTGAACTTGAAGCGGACCAATTTCCTGGCGGGGAGATTTTCTAATGTTGTTTGAGAGCCCTTCAACTAATAGGGAGAGGGGATGGGGGTCAGATCCTAACTAGTAGTGAGAATAGAGAAACCAATGAGGACGGTTCTGAATTCTTTAAAAAAATAAGAGCAATTTCAAGAATGACATAGCTCTGAAGAATTAAACTGTTTTATCTCCAATGCAAGGGATTTTACAGGTAAGGCAGATGGGCTGAGACACTGTAGCTATTACAGAAACATGGCTGAGGGAGGGACAGAACTGGCAGCTCAATGTTCTAGGGATTCGATGTTGTCAGAAGGATAGAAAGGGAGGAAGGGTAACGGTGTTCTGATTTAAGTAAAACGTTTGCTGCTGTACTTAATGGGGATATTTCTGCGGGATTGTCCAGTAAAGTCATGTTGGTGGAACTCAGGAAGAAGAAAGGGATGATCACCTTGATTGGATTGTACTATATGCCCCTCCAATAGTCAGAAGGAAATTGAGGAGCAAATATGTAGCGAGATCTCGGATATATGTAAGAATAGTAGGGGATTTTAACTGCCCAAACATGGATTGGGACTGCCACAGTTTAAGGGCTTGGATGGTGAAGAATTATTTTTTAAATGCTTTATTTAAAGTGTTTTCTTTATCAACATCTACTGGAGAAGGAGGAAAACTTGGGAAATAAGTCAGTGCAAGTGACCGAGTGTTGGTGGAGGTGCACTTTGGGACGAGGGATCATAATTCTACTAGTTTTAAAATTGTTATGGAAAAGGATAGCCCTTGTATAAAAGTTAAATTTCTTAATTGGAGTAAAGCAAGTGTTTTTTGATGGTATGAGACAGGAACTTTGGAGTAGACTGTTTATAGGTAAAGGGACGACTGGCAAATGGGATGCTTTCAAAAGTGTGATAACGAGAGTTCAGAGACACTATGGTCTTGTTAGAGTAAAGGGTAAGACTGGTAAGAGTAGAGAACAATAGATGAGTAAACATTACTGAGGCTCTGGTCAAGAATGAGAAATAAGTCATATGTTAGGTGTGGGCAACTGAGATAAAGTGAATTCCTTGGAGTATAAGGGGTGTAGGATAAAAGGGAAATCGGGAGGGCAAAAAAGGGATATTAGAAAACCTTATCTGCCAAGGCTAAGGATAATCCAAAGCGACTCTGCAAGCACATTAAGCAGTTAGGGAGAGAATAGAGGGAAAATCAATGAAGCTGTCTGTGGAATCACTGGTGACGGGAGATACTAAAAGAATATTTCAATTTTTACTATGGAGAAACAAATGGAGGCCAGGGAACCTGGGGTGGGGGAATTAATATTGATTGTCTTCAAAACTGTCTGCATTACAGAAGAGGAAGTGCTGGAGATCTTAAAAATCATAAAGATGGATAACTGTCTGGGACCTGATCAAGTGTATCCTAGTGTATTATGGGAAGTTAGGCAGGAAATTGTGGGACGCCAGCAGAGAGATCTGTATGATCTACAGCCACAAGTGAGGTGCTGGGGAACTGTAGGGTAGCTTACGTGTCATCATTTAAGAAAAGGCTGTAAAGAGAAGCCTGGGAACTATAGACCTGAGTTTGACATGACTGATGAAGTTATTGGTGCTTCTGAAAGATAGGATTTACATGCATTTGGAGAGACAAGGAATGATTAGGGATAGTCAGCATGGCTTTGTGTGTGGGAAATCATGTCTTACAAACTTGGTTAAGGCTTCAAAAAACTCTATCAAAAAAGGGCAGAGGTAGACTGTCTATGTGGGCTCCACCGTGCAGAACTTTTTATCAAAGATTTTACTAGACTAATTAGTAAAATTAGATCACATGGGATACAAGGAGAGCTTGCCAACTAGATGCAAAATTGGCTTGATGTTAAGAGATAGAGGGTAGTGGTGAAGGGTTGTTTATTTGGGCTGGAGGCCTGCGACCAGCACTGTTCCGCTGGGATCAATGCTGGGTCCCCTTGGCATTTATAGAAATAATTTGGATGAGAATTTAGGATGCATGGTTAGTAAATTTGTGGATGACGCCAAAATCAGTGGTATAGTTGACAGTGAAGAAATTATGTAAGATTTTTTTAAAAATTTGATCAATTGGGCCAGTAGGTTGTGGCAGATGAAGTTTAATTTGGATAAATGCGAGGTATTGCATTTTGGTGAAATGAACAAGGGCAGGACTTGTACAATTAATGGTAGGTCCCTAGATAGTGTTGTTGAACAGAGAGACTTAGGGGTTCAAGTATGTAGTTCTTTGAAAGTTGCATCACAGGTAGACCAGGTGTTTAGCATGCTTGCTTTCATTGCTCAGACGTTTGCATATGGGTGTTGAGATTTCGTGTTGAGGTTGTACAGGATGTTGGTGAGGCCACTTTTGGAGTACTGTGTATAATTCTTGTCACCCTGCTATAGGAAGGATAATATTAAATTGGAGGCGGTTCAGAAAAGATATACTAGGATGTTGCCAGGAATGGAGGGTTTGAGTTATAAGGATAGGTGGATAGGTTGGCACTTTTTCACTGGAGTGTAGGTGGTTGAGGGGTGACCCTTTTTGTAGAGTTTATAAAAGCATGAGGGGCAAAAATAAGGTGAATAGCAAAGGTCTTTTCCCTAAGGTGGGGGAGTTCAAAAAGAAGGGGCATATTGTTAAGGTGAGAGGGGAAAGATTTAAAAGGAACCTGAGGGGCAACATTTTCGCACAAGGTGGTTTGTATGTGGAATTAACTTCCAGGAAATGGTAGAGGTTGGTACAGTTACAACATTTAAAAGACATTTTGGATAGGTACATGCATTGGAAAGGTTTAGAGGGATATGGACCAAATGCAGGCAAATGGGACTGGTTTAGTTTGGGAAACCTGGTTGGCATGGATGAGTTGGACCGAAGGGTCTGTTTGCATGCTGTATGACTCTATGACCATTGTCATTTAAATAGTGAGATTGTAGAATTCTGCAGTCCAGAGCCATCTGTGTGTCCTGGAACGTGAATTATATAAAGTTGGTCTGCAAGTACAGCATGTGATTAGGAAAGCAAATAGTGTTGCCTATATAAAAATAGCAATTTTTTTTTTGTTACAGAGCATTACTGAGTCCACATCTTGTGTATATCTTTGGTATCCTTAGTAAGAGTTCAGTTGCCTTGAGCACAGTTCAGAGAACATTCACTTGGATTATTCCTGAAATGAACAGTGTATTTTGGAAAGTTTTTGGGTTTGTAGCAATTGAAGTTTTAGAAGAGTTGGGGAGGGGTCCATTTCATTGAAACACAAACCTGAAGGGATTTGACAGGATGATTGCTGAAAGGATGCTATCCTCTTTATGGAAGAGACTAGAACTAGGGGTTACAGTTGGGAGATAAGGGGCCTCCCATTTAAGATTGAGACTGATTTTTGAGGGTAGTTAGTCTATTGAATTATCTTAATGGTGAAGGCAGGGTCATTCAAAATTTTAAAATACATTGTAATATAAAGCAGAGGTAGTCAGGTCCTGGATTGACAAAGGAACCAAATGTTATAGAAAGTAGGTAGAAAAATGGAGTTGAGGCTACCATCATCAGCCATGATGTTATCAAATGATAGAACAGGATTGAGGGGCTGGCCCATTCCTGTTCCTCATTCTCTTCTCTTGAGCAGGGGAAATAGTTTCTAATGATGGGCTTGGTAACTTTGCCAGTTTTTAAAATCTGTTTTCAAAGAAATGCTGGAGGGACAAGAGAATATTTTTTCACAAGTTATGAAGTCGGATGCAGTGCTTTGAAGGAGTAGTGGATGTAGATTCAATAATAACTGCAATTTGATTACATTTCCTTTGATGAAAAATTTACAGGACATGGCCCTCAGTATTAGTGCTTTCTGAATCACTAGCATAGTAGGTCACGTGGTCACCTGTGCTGTATAATCTTGATTGCTGCTTCTGTCTCAAAAGGGATTTGCAGGTTCTTCTTGCACATCTGCATTTGCCAGGACATCATCTATCCTAATGTACTCTTTGCACTTTAACATAATTGTCCTAATCTACCTCTTTGGTAATCTTCAGTTATCTCTCAATTTTCAGAATGCGAAGGCGCTGCAGAATGAGCTGCAGAAAATAGGCGAGGCTTTGCAGGTATCAGAAAGAGCATGTTGTCATAACACTGCAGCTGAAAACCTGCGGCGTACTCTAGCTAAATGTGAAGACCTAATAGTAAAACAGGTATGTTAGCAAACTGTCCTTTTTTAATTCCAAATCCAAGACATCCCTCAGGTACATAGAAATAAAAACCAAAAGTGGTGGAGTAAATCATCAGGTCTGGCAACATTGTATAGAGAGTGTGTTAAAAATTTCAAGTCCAATATGGTTTCTCCAAAAACAAATCATCGGGGGTCCGTTAGCTTAATTGGCTGGCTAGCTTTTGATGCAGTGATGCCGACAATGTGGGTTTAATTCCCGTGCTGGCTGAGATCACTAAGAAGGTCCCCGCCATCTGAAGTTCGGTGACTCTGACCCTGGTTAAACCCTGACCAGTCGTCGTCTCTGCGATGTGAGAGCAGACCTATGGTCCTCTGGGACGTTGGCAACTTTTACCTCTAATGAAAGGGCCGCCTTCATGCTAGCATTTTATCTGATTGTTATTTGGCATCGCAGACAAGGCTATCCAATTGTTAACTCTTATTCATGCACTTTCCTCTTTCCAGCATTAGATGCTGGTTAATGTTACAGTTTCCTACTTTAAATTTTTTCCTCCAAGGATGCTGAGTGTGCTTCAACTTCTGACTGGCTACAAATGAATCAAGATCAGAAATCAAAATTTAAGCTCAGCTAGTCTCTAAGACTTAATGCTAAGTCTAAAATGCTTTTACCAAATAGCTTTCCCATGGGTTGAGTTCCTGTGAGAAGCATGGTTTAACAATATCCCACAGCAGAGGCTACATCTTGTAATTTTAGAATGGGTCTGGTAGGAGATTAAGTTATTCTCCCCTGCATTTACTTTCATGCTGAGTATGGATTTAACTGGAGAAGGCAATATTTTTAAAAAATTAAAATTGGATTGCAGTTGCACTTAGGACTTTCACTGTCGAGAAACATTGAAAAGTCTTCTTTTGGCAGGATCAAACTCTGGCAGATCTGCAGAAGCTGCTTATTATGGTAAAGTTGGATCTGAAGAAAAAAAACACATGCATCGCAGAACAGTACCACACAGTCCGCCAGCTTCAGGCAGGTCCAGGCTGCAATAAACGACGCTGTGCTGGCAATATTGAAAATCAACCACCTCCGTGGAAAAAGCCATTTCTAACTAGTCTCTTGACCCCATCGAGGCTTGCCCAACATCAGGGAACTAACACTCCCTCCAATTATATTTTGCGATCTCGGGCCAGAATGGATAAGGTATTGCACCTCTCGAGTGCAAAATATCAATGAGCTATTAAGGAAGTTTTTGGGGTCTTGTAGATAACACTTTTTAAAAGTTTTTGGAAATTAGGTCCATTTTTTAAAAAAAAAAAAAAATTACATGGTGATGACTTCAGTAATGGTGTTTTGCTTTTTTTTATAATCCTTTTAATTCCTCAATTCTTTGCAAAGATTTGAACGAAATTAGGAACAGTATGTTGGGAGATTTGTGCCAGTAGTTATGATGTGTGCTTACTTTGTAAGTATTTTGCATATTATGCTGCTCAGAATTCAGTTTTAAAGCTTTTTTGTTGTCTGGCCAGTATTTGTTTAGATATGGTTTGGAGTTCTGCTCCACAAGTCAACGAACAAGGAATTCAAAACTAGATATTATCTTAATGTTAGATTTTTACAAGAATAGTGTGTAAAGTGTGGGTAGAGATTATCTTCAAATATACTGACAGATTAAGATTACAATTTTAAGTATTAGGATTTAAAATTTCCTTTCTGTTGCCTGGACATGTTTTCGTATAGATTGAGGGTTTTGAATAGGTAAAATTTTGGCTCTTGTATTATGTTGTATTTGCTATGTGTGGGAAGAAGTAAGCTAGTTAGCCATTAACTCTGTCTGTCTCTTTAAGCTTGTATATAGCTTCTATGAATATGACTAACCAAGTTTTCAAGTAAGCCATATATTTATCTGTGGTATGCTTCCCTTGTATTCCAAAGATACTTTCATTTGAGGTGAAAGTAGTTTTGCACCAAAATGTAAATTTGTGTGCCTTTTTTGAGCTTTCGTGTTCTTTACCTGGCAGTTTGAATTATTCTGTTGGTGTCTTTGAATGTATTTTGGAATGTGAGTAATGTGTGTATGGTTTAATGGTTAAACACTATCAGTGTTCACAATGTATCAGTTTTTTTTACAGAAGTGTTACAATACTAGCTTTGAGAATTCAGTAAATGATTGTTGAACACACTTTTTTTCTAATGAAGATCGAATGAGTTTTAACTACCAGAATTAAGATAGTACTGTACTGCTATTCCGATATATTGTCGTTCAGCTAGGAGTGTTTTCCCCAGGTTTGATTTTTAGGCAGCCCCTCAAAACCAAATCATACTAAGTAAGAAGCCCAAGGTTACATAAAGTCATTATGCTTGACATGCCAAAAAATTAATAACTAAATTTAAGGAAACTTAATACTTCATCCCTGTTACATCATTGACAGGACCCATTGCTGCAGAGCATTAGTAATTAGCATCTTCCAAGACAACAAATGTGCTTGTCAAATGCCAAAGATACCACACTTGTACTTTATGACAGTATTGTATTGCTGTAACTTCAATTCCTTTTTAAATTGGTGTCTACTCTTGCTGTATGCATGTGAAGTGAGGGAAATTAAAATTTGAATTTCAACTATGAAATAACTTTCAGAAGGAATTAAGTTTTCATTCTAAAATACATTAACATGGTGCTAGAGTATTGCCACAATCAGAGTCTGGAGGTCAGTGATATCCATTGTCAAGAGTTGCTGCTGGTTTGTGGCGAGATTGCAGTATTCTGCAATGCAGGAAGATTTAGGTGTCCACGTATATGAATCTCAACTGGTATGCAGATACATTGTGATGGGAAGGGAATATAAATCAGCAAAGCCTTCCTGCAGCTGTAAAGGGCTTTGGTGAAACCACATCAGGAAAGCAACATTCCCTCTAAGCTGCATGGTTCGCAACACTGACATCTGATCCTGGAAGTCACAGCTACACAGACTTTGAGGTCTGTACAAAAAACAGTAAGATTGCTGTTGGAAAGACGTGTAGTCTTGGTGGCCTCACAGGACCAAGGGTGATTGCGTTACAAACAGCACAGGGAATGGTCACTTTCAGATTGCTGGAAAGAGGGGCTTGTGAACAAAGGCTTGACAAGTTGGACCTATCTCACTGAAAGCTTACTGAAACAAGTTGACAGGACGGACAGATGGACAGTTCTGGCAGAATCCAGAACCAGTAGGACACCTTGAAAATAAGGGATCTCTTAAATGGAGAGAGTTCTCTACAAAAGGTAGGCACGAGAGTGCAACTGAGATCACCATGCCAGAATGGAGTTGAAGGGCCAAATGGCATACTCTTGCTCCTAACTGCTTTTGTGCTCGATGCTGATTGACAAGTTGAGGTAACTGAAGTTTCACTTAACATTTCAGTATTCATACGATGGTCTGAATTTTATCTTGACTGACCAAGTGAAACTGAAAGAGGGGGAGTCCAGTCTTCTACAACTGCCTAGATGTATATAGCTCCAGTCATTTACTTAAGGATTGGAGTATTAACAAAAATTTGGGTGGGGGGAAAAAGTGTTTTCTATTTAGGCTAGCTGCAACAAAATAATTGTAGGAAATGACATCTTTGAAGAATATTCTACATTTAATATTTACAGACTATGCAGTAAACTTGAACAGAATCTCACTAGTAGCAATTGATAGCCTCAATAATTGAGGGTATATACCAGAGCCAGTAGTGGGTGACATGTTGGTTTCTGATAGCAGCACTGACATATTCATGGTGTAATGGAAGACAAATTGAGTGGTGGCAGTTTAGCAGAGGGGGTGTTCACTCCAGGGACAAATGTCCGTGATATGTCAGCACCCATGGGTGTTGGTGTCACATCACCTTGACTGCGAAGCTGTGAAATTTGTCTGAGGAGAGCTTTCCCTTCTTCTCTAGTCTGGAACAAATATTTTAAAATTAAAATCGGTGAAAATATTGTATTAACTTTGAAGTCAGCAAAACCTTGCATTCAAATCACAACATTTTTAAACCCCTTTTATAGCTACTGTAGTAATTAGTTATTCTTCTCTACATTACAATAAGCAAAGATTTTCTGTTTAGGTGTGGAATGAAGGAAAAATACTAGCCTTCCCAGCAAATTCTTTTGCTATTTTTTCCGAAGGGTATCATATACTTGGGAAAAGTAGACAAAAGGGTATAGGGTACTTAGCACTTGTCAGCATGTTCGTATACAGTTTGTTAACATAACATGAAGCTGATACAACATATATTCAAGTAGTCCACCAGTTGTCTGTCACTAGCTCCCATCCTGCTTTTGGGATGAAGCGGACGAGGTAGCCTTTCACGTGGTCAGAGCTAGTGCAGACTGGCACATGTGATTCGGATTTAAGAGCTTGTTCCCTATTTTAGTGAGTTTCTTCACCTTAAGATTTGAATTATTGAATGGTAATGAGGATTACTAATGGGAGCGTGGGCTCTGAATAAAAGCAAAAGGAGTTATTTTTGGGGAAATAAATTTATGAACATCAGCAAAATACAGTCTCATTCTTGTATTCTAGTTATACCTGCAGCAAGACTGAAACAAAACTGCTGTGTTACACTCCAATGTCAATTAAAGAATCTGAAAACAAAAACACTGCAAGTGGTCATTTCATGCTATCATAAAGACTTGTGATTAAAACTTACATCATTGTAATCACAGCACTTCTGTGCACAAACCGATGCCTCATCCCATCGTTTACACTTGAAATAATACTGTGCTAGAGCTCTAAAGGCAGTGCTCATTTCATGATGCTCTAGAATCTCCTAAAATGTGAACAATAATTAATTAGTTCTGGAAGAGATGCAGAAAAACAGACATTTTTTGTTTATGTATTTGGAAAACTCTCTTTGCAGTTCTTTAGGGATACAATGCAAAAAAGTATTTGCAACCTGTGGAGTAAGTGAATTTTCTTAAAATTATGACTTTAAGACTGTACAGTATCTGCTGTGTCTGTCTTATCATTTAGCTGGGAATTTTGTTTTCCACAGTGATTCCTCCAAATTCTAAATATGCCTACATCAACAATTTTACATCACAAGGTTGTAAGAATTAGGGGACAGTAAAGATGTCCCAAATTGAACAGAGTGGGAACTGGACACATTCTAGCATTAAAAAAGGAGCCCAGTATCTGTGCAGTTTACTCTACCTCCAAAAATTCAACTTCAGAATAGGATACATATTGAACAGATGTAGGCCGTTCAATAAGGCAATGACTTAATATATTATTGCTGGACTATTAATGCAGAGGCCCAGGTTCAAATCCTGCCACAGATGGTGGAAATGAATTCAATATGCTTAAAAAAAGATCTGGAATTAAGAGTGTAATGATGACCACAAATCAACTGTCAGAAAAACTCATCTGGTTCATTTATGTCTCCTTAAGGAAGGAAACTGCCATCCTGACTTGGTCTGGCCTACGTGACTCCCACAGCACTGTCTCTCTGGGCAATAAATGCTGCCGAGCCTGTGACAAAGATGGAGGATAGCTATTTTCAGCTGATACAAGTACCAATATCGTAGGCAGTAATACTAGGGTACTGGAAATGCTGGGAGAGGCAAATAGAATGGAGAAGAGTAAGTTAATAGGTGGAGTCAGAAAATAAGTTTAAAATCAGTTACCCTACATGCAAAGAGTATAGATAATTGGGGAGATTCAGGCACAGATTAACATGTAGGATTATGTGGTGATAACAGAAGCCTTGCTCAAGGAAAGGCAGCTCTGAGTGCTAAATATGCCTGATTACAAGGTGCTCAGAAAAGATAGGCAAGGTAAAAGGAAGAATAAGTGGCATCTTTGGCTAAGGTATACGATGACTGCAATTACATCTATTAACACCCACCCAAACAAAAACTAGTTGGGAGGATGTACAACATCAAACCTGCAATTAAATTAGCAGTGTAAACATCAATTATTATAATGGAGGACATGGATAGTGATCATGTACGGGCAGGCATTCCAAGATTGTATTCAGGAGAATTTCTGACAGCATGTATCTAGTCCATCAAGGAAATGTGGTAGCCTAAGTGATAATGGGGGAAACATCTGGGGGATAGTGATCATTGTATCATGAGGCTTAGGACAACAATGGAAACGACACTAATCAATCCACAGTAGTGAAGAACATGCTCAATGCACTAAATGGTCTAATCCTGTCCAATGTTCACTGCTTGTTTCAAAGCTTGAGCTTTTAACATGCTGCAAAGACAGATGGTCTCAGTGTGCTACATTTGAAGAGAACAGAAGGATACAGCAGAACGTAGAACACCACAGCACAGAAA